ACTTCTTCTCTCTCTCTCTCTCTCTCTCTCTCTCTCTCTCTCTCTCTCTCTCTCCCTCCCTCTCCCTCTCCCTCTCCTTTTCTCTTAAATCTCTCGTACATAACATTTTATTACAATTACGTGTAATAATGTTTATAAATCGATAATTGATATTTACAAATATTTTTGTCAGGTATGGTAGAAAGATGCCGTTAATGATATCCGTAGTTCTTCAACTAGCTTCCGGTATCGGATGCGCTGTTGTACCATGGTTTCCGGCCTTGTTGTTAATGAAATTACTTACCGCCTTAGCCACCGGAGGTACTATGGTTACCAGTTATGTCATTTGTAAGTAATATTTTCTTATTAATTATTTCTTATCTGAAAATTTTAATTTACAATTTTTATATATAATAAATTTAATATATAAAATATGACAAATAAAATTAAAAATAAAATATTAACGAAATTTTTCATTGATAATTCTTCTCTAAATTTTTTATTATCAATCTTATTTTCATTACTTTTATATTTTCATTTAGTTTTATATTTATATTCATTTTTTTTTCCTTTTTTTTCATATATATATATTCTTATCATATGTATACATATATGTATGAAACAAAATGTTTATTAACGATCTAATCGTGGAAAATTGTCAGGTATGGAGATTGTTGGAACAAAATGGCGAGCAGCCATTACGGTACTTTATCAAATTCCATTTAGTTTGGGCCACATATCGTTGGCCGGTCTAGCATATTATTTCCGTCATTGGCAACATCTTCAAATCGCTATCACGCTACCTTCTATCATTCTTCTAAGTTATTGGTGGATCGTGCCCGAATCTCCTAGATGGTTGCTCGCTTTTGGAAAACAACGAGCAGCTTGTAAAATTCTGCAGAAGGCGGCCAATATTAACAATATAAAAAATAAAGATATTCCAGACATGGTCAAACAACATTGTATGCATCAGGTAAAAAATAATATTTAAATTTATTATTCTTATTTATAAGTTTTTGTTTAAACATTTAAATTTCGTAATTGATTTGTTTATCGTTATTTAAATTTATATAAATATTAATTTATATATTTGTGATATTTTTACAGAACTCGAAACGATCAGATTTCGATCACAAAGCATCGTTCCTCGATCTGTTTCGTACGCCTAATATGAGGATAAAATCTTTATCGATTTTCTTCAACTGGATCGTTTGCGGGATGGGTTTATTCGGAATGTGCCAATATATAGGTCAAGTCGGTGGTAATATTTTTATCAATTTCACCGTTTCTGGAGCAATTCAAATACCTGGGAATTTCGTTGCGTGGTGGGCAATGAACAAACTTGGAAGAAGAATTACATTAATTTGCAGCAATTCGATCGCTGGGATTTCCGCTCTTTTACTCGTCATTGTTTCAAATGGTATAATAATGCTGTAACGATTGATCTATTTATTGTAGATGGAGCCAAATATAAGAAATTGATTTATAAATTTCATAGAGATAATCAGTCAAATCTACACGATATTGACAAAATCATTTATTATTTTCTCTTTAAATTGATTTATATTTCAACTTTTTCACAATTTCAAAAATATGGATTCTTTTAATATCTATATATATAGATATTATTATTATGTCTTTTAATTTTATTCAAAATTTCAACTTATATTACATTTTAACTTTATCGACTTATTTATTTTAAAAAGTTCGTATTTTGAAATTTGTCGGATTATTTCCCTTCTCGGAAAGAAAAATCGAAAAACGAAAATAGATCGATCATATATTATCTCTAAAATATAAATCAAATTGAATCAATAAAATTCTTTTTTTTATGGACATTTTTCATTTATTTACAGATATCGAGTGGCTTCGATTAATTCTAGTTTGTCTCGGCATCGTTGGCATGTCAGTCTCTTTCACTACAGTTTATCTATTTTCCGGTGAATTGTTTCCCACGGTTGTTAGAAACATCGGTGTGGGTACCAGCAGTATGTGTGCTAGGATAGGTTCCATCACAGCACCTTTCGTAGTATCTCTGGTAAGTTTTGTAATACATGATAATCATACGAAATTATATATTGTAGATAATCATTTTCTTTTATATCATATTCTTTTATATCATCATTTGTTCATTTTATATAACTTTTTTAAAGGATCATATCCAAACTTGGCTTCCACCTTTGTGTTTTGGAATCCTTCCTCTTCTCGGAGCCGCGCTTTGCTTTTTATTGCCAGAAACTGTTGGATGCACACTTCCGGAAACGCTCCAAGATGGTGAAAATTTTGGCAAGTCGGTATTTAATTTTAATTAATAATGAAAATAATATATAAATTATTAATATTGTTTAATAATAATCTTTTAAATAAATTCTACATATACACACATATACATATATATATATATATATATATATTACATTATTATATTATTATATTTATTATATTTAATTTTATAACTTTTATTCTTTTATTTTTTTTACATGTTTAGGACAACACGCAGAAAACTCTACAAAATTTCACAAGAAAATTATTCGAAAAATATCGAAGCAGAGGCGACACTTTGAATCAAGACTGCAATTAATTATTATAATTTATACATTGTGAAAAAAATTAGGAAAAGTATCAAAATTAAAAATATGAATTTTTATAGATAAATTATCTGTATATAAATAATATTGCAATCATTCCTCTTTTTTATTTATTACGTTATTACATCTACAATTTTAACATCAATGCTATTTTCATACGCGTTGAAACCGAATATCGATTTCATATTATATTCCAATCAATTTTCTACTCACTCATATAGTTAAGGAGATTTAATCAGCGTGTAAGTGTACTTTATTGTTTATATGGAAAGTATTTATATTTTTTAACAAAAATATAATATAACTTTTTAAAAAATGTTTTCAAAATATTTCTCTCTTATTAAATAGTTGAAAAAATCGAAAAATATTATTTACCGTCGAATGTATCTGTAACAATTGAAGAGAAGAGGTCTTGTAAATTATATGCCAATATATCATATATAAATATATTGTACATTTTACATAATATCTATTTTCTCTTTATTGTGTTTTCCTTTATTTAAGTATATAAAATTTTAATCGAATTTAACTTTTTTTATTTATTTTAATTTAGACAAAAATGTACTATCTTTTTACTTTTTACATTCTACAGTTATATTTTTTTATATCAATGAAATATATGTAATATAATATAATGAAATAGTGTATGTATTCATACGTGTATAACATGTATATAAATATATTAAAAACATGTTGTGTTTAAGCATTTTATGTTTAATAAAAACATATAATAATTTAAATTATTAATTGATTAAATTGCGATCAAATACAAAGAATAGGAAAAAAAAAAAATAGAAAGAGTAAAAAATTTATAAAGGGATTGATATTGTTGAAGCAGTTTATGAAATCTAATTGCTAGAATTCATCAAGAATATTACATTTTCAACTTTAATTTTATCATAATGCTATTAATAGAAAAAATATTATTATTTATAATAATAATATAATTTCATAAATTTTATAATTTTTATTGAAATATATTATTCTATCTACGATTGAAGAATAACGATTATATTCCAAGAACAAATAAATACTTCTATTTTCCTACTAAGGATAATTAACGTCATAGGCTATATTGTTCAATAATTGATGAGCATAACGCTTGAATTATATATACATAGGATAGAACAGGATTTAAATCAACAAATTTATGTAATTAAATATATTTTATTTGTTCCGATCGCGATTTTTTTTCTTAAGAATTGATACTCGACAAATTTCTCAATATTTCTTTTTTTTTTTTTTTCAATATTCGCAACATTTAAACGATAATAAATTTTTATAAATTATAATATGTGTTATTTGATTTATTAATAATCCGCCGTTAATAATTTATTAAAATAATCGTACAAGTAAATATTTATTTCGTATTTCATATGTAATTTTAACAATTATTTTTCTCGAAAAATTCATGATAACATATCGTTCATTTTTGTATTCTATTACAACGCAAACAATTTTTCCGTTTTTGTTCATTTTATGATTGAAAACGATTATAAATTTAAATATGTAATTTTTTGTATTTCACCAAAAAATGAAAGATCTGTTCAGACTTTTAATAATTTTTTATAGAAACGATTATTACAAAACGATTATTTAGAAAATTTAATGCAACATTGCATTGTTGTCATGAAATCAGCATCTTACATAATGTATAACGGATTTTTAATCGTTAAATTTTAGAAAATATATTATCATTATGCATTTTTTATTCAATAATATAATATAATATCTCATATATCTTATAACTATTAGTCTAAAATTCTAAGAATTTCGATTACACGTTTATTTCAAGTTCTATTAATTTTTTAAAAAGAAAAATATAAAATGAAAGTTATTAATTTGTTTAATTTTTCTTTTCCATCATCGATCAAACGACAAACTTAATTACACGTAACGTCAATACGAGACAAGAATCTTTATATTCACACGTGCACATATAATGGTGTCCATTTGGAAAGAAGACTTCATCATTATATATATAAAGTAAGTAAATACCATAGAGGAGACAACTATAACGTCACTCAATCTTGGACCGCTTTAGCAGAAGGTCGATTTGTTCTTTGGGTACGAATAACGGATAATTCGCGTCCGAGCGTTCAACATTTACATTTTTAAGATTTAACCTTGTGATCATCTATCAAGATACAAAATAAAATAAAGGTGAGAAAATGCGATATTTTTATTTAATATAATAATATAATAAAGTTATAAATATGTTAATTTTTTTTATCAATAAACATAAGTGTATATGTGTGTGTGTGTGTATAACGTATTTCTTAGAATCTTATATATTCTAGCTTTAATAAAAAGAAATTCAAAATATTAATTGATCGCTGTAGTAGATTGTTTTTTTTTTTATAATATAAAATTATAATTAAATTGTAAAATATTAAAATTTTCCATTCTTACATAAAAAAAAGTAATTTTAATAAGTTTAATTTTTAATAATCAAAAAATTATTATATTTTCTTAATAATTTTATTTAATCAATTGATCAATTTGTGTCTACAATCGAATAAATGTTTCGAAGTTAAACGATCATATAACGATATAAAAGAATAATTTAGACACATGTATTAAAAAAATATAAAAATATATATTTTTTTATCATTTTAATTATCAAATTTATATGAATCTCTTTTAATTTTATTTAATACATGTTATAATTTTATTTAATACATTATATAATGTATTTTTTGCATTTATCATATTTGTGGTCTGTGACATTGTAATAAAAAGAACTTTCATTTAATCATGATTATTATCGAAATATTTAAATTATTCTTTTATATCGTTATACGATTGTTTAGTTTTGAAACATCTATTCGATTATAGACACAAATCAATCAATTAATTAAAAATTGAATTATTCGCGCTTTATAAGTATAGCGAAAAAAATAATTTAAAGTCTCTATTCCGTTTGTATCTATCTACCTATTACGTCTGTAATAAAGACATGATAGAATAATTGCAGATTATTTAATCATATTTTCTTGCCTATTGTATTGTCGTTGCAATAAAATTTAAATTGAAGATACGATATTACGATGCAACCGAGCTATTAATTCAAAATAAATAATGTTTGAAAAAATATTGATTCGAAAAGGAGCAAAAGTTAAAATGATGAAAGATCAAAATTTCTTACCTTATATCTTATTTCATGAAACATGTCTTGCCTTTTTTTTTTTACGTATACATATTTTACATCCGTATAGAATCGCTTAATGATGATGCGCTTAATAATGTATCTCTCATTCTATTCTTTTCCGAAGAATAATATTATTACTCAACTTACAATTTAATGATTTATCTCTTTTTGATTCATCTCTTTGTTTTGTTTGAGAATAACCAATCGAAAATTGACCGAATAAATATCATATATTTTCATTTTTTAGATAGATATGTGGCACTTTTTGTGGATCGTATTTCTTGCATTGGCAAATGGCGAAGAAATTAAAACAATTTATTCATGGAACATGATCGAATACAATTTTCCAAATGATAATATTCGAAATACGCTGATATCTAATGGTGACTATATCGAAGAGAATAATATGCCAAATGGTATGCAAATTTGGAATGATAAAATATTTATCACTATACCACGATGGAAGAATGGTGTCCCATCTAATCTAAATTCTTTTTAAAAAATGATGGATCAGGTATTTATTAACTAGCTACTTACTTACTACAAAAAAATGTTTAAACGTTTTAAACTTAAAGTTGTATAATAAAACGATTTAATTATATCGTAGAAATAAGAATGACATTAATTCTTTAATGATTAATGATTTTTCCATATGTTTAAAGTTTATATGTTTAAAAAATTACATTAATTTTATAAATAAATATAATAAAATATTTTTTTTATATTATAATTAATTTACTTTTTATATAGAATCTCCAAAATTAAACCCTTATCCCAATTGGGAAATGAACGATATGAATAAAGTTGATAGTATAATAAATATAATCCGTGTTAGAGTTGATGCCTGTGATCGATTATGGGGTGTCGATACAGGTGTTAATGATATTTTAGGCAATAACACTGTTATACATCAACCGAGAATTATCATAATCGATTTAAAAACAGATAAGGTAGAGTAATAAATTATTATCTATAATATTTTATACGATATATATATATATATATATGCCTATATTATGCGTGTTATATAACATTTATTTAATAATTTCAGATATTGAGAATTTACCCTCTAAAAAGTTCAGATCAAACGTCTGATTCGTTTTTCGTTGATTTAGTAATTGATACAGATCCAAATAATTGCGACAATACATATGCTTATATTTCTGATCTTGGTGGATATGCTTTAGTAGTTTATAGTTGGGCTAAGAATGATTCCTGGCGTATCACGCATAATTTCTTTTATTTCGATCCTCGCTACGGTGAAATATTATATTTAAATCAAAATTTTGATTATACAATATATTTTTAAATTATATATATAATAGAATTAAAATTCTATATTTATAAAAATTCTATTTTTCATTTTTTAGGTAATTACAATATCAATGGATTCAATTTTCAATGGAAAGATGGTTTATTTGGATTATCTTTGTCAGCATTGCAAACCGATGGATACAAAATTTTATATTTCCATGCGATGTCTAGTATCGCTGAGTTCTCAGTATCTACAGAAGTTCTGCAGGATCACACGTTAGAAAAATCTAGCGATTATTATGCTTTTCATTTCGAGGGTGAAAAAGGTCCAAATAGTCAGGGGCCTAGTTCTGTGATCGATACGAATACCGATGTCAATTACTTCACTCAAATCAACAGAAATGGCATTGCTTGCTGGGATACTAATGTTGAATTGAATCCAAATACGTTCAGTAAGTATTAATTAGGCTTTTTATGTCAGTAATTCCGATATTATATCCGCGTTCTAATTTTATCCATGAAACCGATTAACCGAAACAATATTCATCGAAGCGTATAAATGTCTGGTATAGCAAATTTGTGGGTAATTTTAATAATTTAATGCTTATGTTTACGCTTTTTCAATTTCGTTTATATTTTCTATCACAAATGTCGAGTTGTACGTATATGGAAATGATAAATTTATAGAAATTATTACAAAAATTGATAACGAAGATAAATTTATTATTTCTATATATGAATGTAATTTTTAAAATGATCCAGATGAGTTATAAGTATTTCTAATATCTAAGATCAGAAAAATGATCTACATGAGTAAAAAAATAATCTTGCAGTGACATTGAGATTATTACAGAAGAATCAGTGATAGATAGATAGTCAAATAGTAGAAGTAAAAGTTCCTTTAAGCAATGAAATTAAAAATAGACTTTATAAATGGAATAAAGACTTATGTATTGTATCTTGTTCTGAAGTATTTCAAAATATATACAAAAAATTAATGATATTTACTTCTTTTCTTTTTTATTCAAATAAATGTTCTTCTTTAATAAATATTATTTAAATTAGCGAATTTGCCTTATTAGCAAATAAAAAATTAAAAACTTATTTGTGAAAGTTTTATATTATTTCTATTTTTATAAAATATAATTCTATATAATTGCAAAGATGAAAGGATAGTTATCTTTAATCTATAATGATGATATATATACAATTATCTACATAATATAAAATAATTGATAAATGATCAAGTTATTTCATTATGCTCGTTGAATTTCTTTCTCCCATAAAAATTTAAATCGCCTGGCGTGAAAAATAATACTTTTAATCTAATTTACATTCGTTTTTTTCAGTTCTAGTAGCTGAAGATAATACAACAATGGTCTTCTGCAACGATTTATCCATCGATCGATCCACTAACACGATGTACATGCTCTCTGATAATTTTCAGCAACTTTTGTTCTCTAAATATGATGTGAAAAAACGTAATTTTTTCATCACAATGTTTGATCTCGATTTCTTAACGAATGCTTGTACGAAAAAAGATGATAAACCTAAAAGACGGCTTCCTCATATTCTTTAATGAGTTCATGCCAATGTATAAATATATTATATACTATAATATATATTATATATATATATATATATACATATAATATATTTATATATTCAAAAATTATTAAATAAATATTTTGCTCAGATTTCTGTTTGACAAATTATAAAAATATCGATTTATTAAAAAGTGTTGTTCTTTTTTTTTCTTCTTTCTCTTTTTAAGTAATTCACGAAAGAAATTATTTCGTTCGTGTTTCATTTATTTATTCACAATAATTATACAAAAAGAATATTTAGAACGATCACACGCAATATGTGAAGAAATATATGTTATAATTAACATTTATTTTAATTGTGTTATAATTAATTTTCTATATTTTTATTCAATTCAGTCAAAAATTCTTTTTTATGTCGTTCTTATGATATGAATAATTATATATTTACAAGTTGTTCATTGAATTAATCATATATGTATACATATAATATAATACGAATATCTACATTAAGAGATTTTAATTTTTAGATAGAAGGAATTTTTTTGGAAGGAAATTTTGTAAAGAAATAATAATTACATATGTTATTCGATATTGTATATACAAGCGCTATTGCATTTATAAAAGAAAAAAAAAAAAAGAAAATTATGTTTTATTACAATAAAATAATTTTTTTGATATCGTCTATTTTGGTCCCCAATTTTATGATTTATTATGCACGTATTATATATTATAAAAAATTATTGTAATAAAGTATGAAGCATTTTTGAAAACATGTTGATCACAGGATAGTACACGTTTTTGACTGAAAATAAATTTTTCTTATAAATGATCAAGAATTTTAATTTTTTTCAAATTATAATTATATCGTTGCATGTTATGTTATGTTATATATTATATTATAAAATATTACACATACTTTAGATTTTTGATTCACAGTACCAATTATTCTGCTACCATTTTCCATTATTTGCGGCTTTTTACTTTTGAATATCTTGCCTATTTTACCTGAAATAAAATTATATATTATATATATAATATATATATATTTATGATATAATATAATATTTATGATCTTTATACAAATTATACAAATCTTATATCAATATGATCTTTATACAAATTGTTTTTTTTTACTATTTTTTTAGTAAATAAAAATCAAAAATTTTTATATCTAAATATGTTTGTTATGTATAATATGCTATAATATTGAAATTTGTATATCATCACTCTATAATTTTATCGAATTTTTGCAATTATTTATTTTTATTACCAGTTCTTGGTGGTGGCGATTGTACATCAGCGTCATCTTGACCATTATCAATCTTCAATTTCTCCTCTTCAATAATCTTATCCTTCTCTTCATTCTGTTTGTCAATTTTTATCATTTCCTCCGTATCAACTTCCAATTCTGAATTTGCATTTTTCGTCGAACATTTTTCTCCTTTTTCTAATTTTCCTGGCTCGTTTTTTTCTATCATTTCTAATTTTTTATCTATATCATTTTTCATATTTGTTTCATTTTCTATTTTATCGTCCTCATCTTTATTTTCCATTGACGACGATATTTCGATATAAGAATTTTTATTTTCAACTTTTAATCTTGGTGGTTTTGCCGGTGATGCGATCAAGTCCAATGAAGAAGATATTTGTTTCTCAGGACTTATCTCTTGTTTATTATCATTTTTAATATACAATTCTGTTTGCAGTTTCATTGATTCTGATTTGAAACTTTCACTATTAGTTTGCATACTATTCATTACATCTTTATTTTCATTATTAATTTCTTTATCGTACTCTATGTTCTTTGTTGTAACTTCACTTGTATTCGTTTCATCATTCTTTTTTTTCTTACTTTCATCGCTATTCATCGATTCTGAATCATTCTTTTCATTAACGTTCTTCTCAATATCTATTCTTATTTCTGATTTTTTATCATCGTCTTTTGATTCTTCATTTTCATTTTGTATTTCTAATTTTTTATTTAATTCTTCCAAGTCAATCGACGATTTTTCCGACATTATTTCAATTTTCTCTTCGTTTGATTTTTTCCCCGATATATCATTAATAGATTTTTCAAGATTTTTGGGACTGTTCTCAAGACTCTCTGATTTCTGAATGTTACTCGTAGAGTATACATCATTTGTAATGTTATTTGTAACATCATTTTCATTTTCATTATATTTTATATTTTCTTCAATTCTTTGCGGGGCTATTTCCATCGTTTCTCGTGAACTCGTTACAGATTCCGTGACACTTTTTCTCAGATTTAATCTATCGTTAATTATTTCGTTAGTATGTTCATCACGAGTCTCATTTTGTAGCCTGTTTATTGGAACTTTTAATGGCGGCAATGCATTTCTTTTTTGAATATGTTCCTATATTCGAAACAGGAATGTATCGATTTGTTTTCGTTAATTTGTGAAAAATGTGTGTAATTAATATACGATATTTTTATATTATATTTTCTTAACTTCTAAAATAAATTATTTTGGTGTTTTTTGTTTTTTGCTTTTTTTTTTAAATAAATTATTATATAATAATTTAATAATTATTATATAATAATTTTGAAGAGAATCTTAAAAAACTGATCTATGATCTATAATATAAATTTAGTTTGTCGTTTACGAAATAATTAATAAATTGTAATTACCACTTGCGAGTTATCCATTTCTTTTTGGATACGATTTGTTTCACGTTTCTGACCAATTAAGATTGTATGACAACCACCGCATGAAATCTATATATAACGTAAATTCATAAAGTTTAAAAATTTTTTTAATTATTTAATTATACGTGAATTATACAAACACTAATTATACTACAATAATATATAAATAAATATATAAATAAAATTACGTTCGAAATGAATAGTTCCTTGTATCTTTGAACAAAAGTTAGTTCGTGGACGTTGTTTTCATTTTCTTCCAAACCTAATTTTCCATGTCTTCCGTCGCCACATGTATAAAGTTTCCCAGATTCTGTTGCAGAAAAGATTAAAAAAAAAAAAAAAGAAAAGAAAAGGAAGTATTCAATCAATAAAATTTGCGTTAAAATTTACCAGTAAGAATAGCAGTGTGACTTTCTCCACATGAAATATGACTAATTTTTTCATTTTTTAATGCGCCTCGTGGAAGAAGTTTCGGTATATGAAGTTCCGTGACATTTGTTCCTAAACCGAGTTGACCGCTCGAATTACTTCCGGTACAATACAAATTATCTTTTTCTGTCGGAATAAACATTTTTTTTTAACATATAATATATTTATTTATCATCGAATAGATATTATAATTTTAAATAATTTTAAAAGATTATACCCGTTAAAATGACAGTATGATGACCACCACACGCTACATGTATAACAGGACTTGGTAATTGCATTTGTTTGGGCACAATTTGTGTAGAAAAATTGATATCAATTCCTAATTTTCCACTTTCTGATTCACCACATACGTAAACAAGACCATTCTCTATACAAATTTGAAACTTGATGATAACATAAAAACCAATTACCATTTAACATTTAATATTTTCAACAATTACCCGTCAAAAATATAGAATGATAGTAGCCCGTATTAATTTGTTTCACAGGTTCCGGAATATGCACTTTCGTCGGTTTGTTCACTAAGCCAGATATATCCGGAAGTCCTAGTTGACCTTCGAGATTACTACCCCATGCGAAGACGTTACCATCGCTCGTGAGCGCGAGCGAATGATGGGAACCCGCAACTATTTGAACAATCTTTGATCCAGTTGGCCCCGAATCGTATACCAATACGGGAATGCTCGCGGAATCGCCTATCGCGGAAATTCCTCGACCGAGTTGTCCTTCCTGATCACTGCCGCAGGCAAAAATTTTTTCCGCTACTGAAACATTATTATTACGTGTTCCTGTTTCGAATTTCGTCCTAAGATAATTTTCACATATTTGGTGATCATGATTAATCAATTAAGATTTTTTTTCTTTTCCTAGATAAATAGATTTTAAGCATTTTTAACTTTTTAAGCAAGCATTTTTTTTATTTTATTATTTAATAATTATTGATAAAAAAATTTTTTTTCACAGATCAAAAAAATATTTTCTCCTGTAAAATATATTTTCCTGTAAAAGTGAATATAATATCTTTTATATAATTTTTTTTTATTCTTTCTATTTTTTCAAAATTTTCATATTTCAATAAAAATAATAAAAAATCTATGATAAGAAACGAGAGAATTTAGGAATACAATTTCAAAGGAAATTATTTCTAGAATTCTAGAATTCTAGAATTAAGAAAAAATATTAAAACAATTTTAACAATAGGGAATAAGATTAACACGTAAATCATTAATTATAAATATGTATGAACCACAAATAGAAATCTTTTGAATGAAAAATACAATTTATGCATGCTTTATTAAATTAATAATTTATTAAATTAATAAAATAATTGTAAACAATATTTTACCTGTGCAAATTAGTGTGTGTGCTCGTCCACATGCGACATGTGTTACCTTCTCGGGTTTTAAAACTGTAAATTTTATAATAACAATATATATTTTATAATAATATATATTATATTGTATTATATATATATTTTGATATTAAAATAGATAAAATACAAACCTTTTACACAAGATGGTTTGCTAATATGATTTTTATGACCCAAACCAAGTTGACCCCAATCATTACTTCCGAAAACGAAGAGTCTGCCACTTTCTAAAAATAATGAAATCTAAACTTTTGATTTAACGAAGAATCAAAAGATATATTATATGTATTGTTACAGGTTGTGTAAACATTTTTATTATAATAATAAACCTTAATTTTTACATACAAACAATATGATATAAAATTTTTTTTTTACTTATTTATTTTTTTTTCATTAATGGTGAATTTGAATTTTATTTAATAATAAAATGTTAATGTAAAATATGTAATAGCATGTGATGGCAAAAATATAAATCATATGGCAATAATAATAAATAACATTCTAGATAATATACTGATAATTAACTATTCTAGGAATAAATATACCAAATACTAATATAAATACCAAATATTAAATCGATAAATACTACTTTCTTACATTAATTTAATCAAAATGTTTTTAAAATTTAAAGTTTTTAACTTTTTTTTCTTTGTATAAAGTAAATTAAAAGATTCGATTCTA